TTTGCTTACAGCACAAGGTGGTTGTAGGGTAATTTCCCACAGGACAGGAGCCCTTTCTAAAACAAACACACACAAAAACACACACTCTTACACTTCTGTAAAGCACCATTCTGCAGACCATTTGATATACACATCCGAACATGAACTCCTGTAAATAATTACTTAAAGGCCACTGTGACATCTTAATGGATGTGTGACAGGCAACATAGTTTTCTACTAGCATAATAATTTTGTTTATCAGTGTTGCAAAACAGTGGTTTTACTTGATGTTTTTATTTTTCTAACTCTTTTAAAAATTGTAAAAATTCCAGACACATCACCGTCCCCTCTTGAAAACGTGTTGGTTAATGTTGACAAAAACTTGTCGGATATAATATTACAGTGATGGCGGTGAATAGTGTGGCGACAGAGTTGAACATGTGGCTGTTTAATAGTTTGAATAACGTAGCGTGTCTTGCACGTCGACTAAAGCTTTGGGAAAAGGAAACTGAAACTGGGGAGCGGTTGATGCTCTGATTAAGCAGCGCGGCGCACTGTCACAATATTCTTAACTTTTGTTTGTTTGTTTTTTTTTTTACATCTGTAACAGTAGCTGGAACTTTCATTTTTTACATTATTTTGATTTCGTTTCGTTTTACATTATTTTGATTTTCGTTCAGCTGTGCATGATTCGTCGGCTGCTTGGTAACAAACATGACAGTTTATTATCGACTTGATTAAGAACGTTAAAATTCCTCAACTTAAGATGCTGTAAGATAAGATACAATTTCCAAATAATGATGGGAAATGAATATAGGAATATATAAGTTTTTGTAATACAGCCCCAAATACATCAATTCCTATAATTGAACTTATAGGCCATCATGACATCATAATGGGTGGATACAATTATTTCACAACCAACAAAACTATCTGCCAATTAAATGAGGGAGAAATTTACAGCATTCTTTTTAGTGTCTTTAGGATAAGTTACAGCTGGCTGGAGATATCAGCTGGATGCCTCGTATAATGACCATTGTTAACGGCAAGGTCAAGCAATGTGAAGCAGAAATGCAGCTTAAGCAATTACACAGCAGCAAAAGCTGAAATTTAAAAGGAATATTGATTATTTGCTGTTTGCTTCATTTTTATTGTGCCACTGGCAATATTCATTGTGTGGCAAGTTTTGTTTTGTTTTGTGTGTGTGTGTGTGTGTGTGTGTGTGTGTGTGTGTGTGTGTGGGTGTGTGTGTGTGGGTGGGTGTGTGTATGCTTTTGCACATAATATTTGTGTAATGTGTATAATGGAGGTGTGTAGGTGTATCAGCATTGTCCGATAGTGTGGGTTCATTCCCCATTCTGAGTGTGACAAATGTGCTGTGTCAGCATGGCTTTAGTGCTTGCACACGCACACACATACACACTTACAAACAGATAGATTGAGGCCTGTGTACCCTTCTCCAGATAAATATCTCTAGAAAGAGAGAGAGGGAAAGAGAGAGAGAGACATCCTAAATCAGAGAGTAATTTGGAGTCTTGGGGTTCTAGGCAGTGTGAAATGTAGAGTAATAAGGGCTAGAACGTTGGCTTCCTGTGGGTTTATTACACTGCCAGTGATACTATTAATGTCTTATTCCTTAGAAATCAATTATTTCTCTTGTTTTGCAACACTATTAAAATGTAATCACATAGCTTTATAATTAATTACAGACACTGTGTGTTCAAAAGTTTGTAGACGCCTACTCATCCGGTTTTCTTCTGAAAGAGTATTACGGAGTAATACTTTGCTGCAGTAACAGCCTCCACCCTTTTGGGGGGATATTTACACCAGATGTTGAAACTTTGTGGAGAGAATTTGATTGTATTCAGCCACAGGAGTATTAGTGAGGTCAGGTACTGATGTTGGATGATTAGTCCTAGATCACAAAAGCCAGTCCAACTCATCTCAAAGGACGGAGCTCCAAAAAGCAGGGGGCTTAAACTCCTCTAGCCAGTGCTTGGCACTAGGCATAGTGATCTCGGGCTCTTGTGCAGCTGCTACAGAACTCCAAAATGAACACATTCACATATTCTAATAGTCAGTGCTTTTCTATAGAGATTTTACAAGCTGTGTGTACAGTTGAACACCTGTGTCAGCAGTAGGTGAAACTGAAAGTTTGAATTCATTCATGAATTTATGCATCTGGATACTTTTGAACAGATAATGTAGCTAGTTAGCAAACACATTATATTTACATTGAAGGTTTGAGTATGAAGTTTCTTAACAATTTTTTTTTCCATCTGTACAACTACACTACACATTTTAAAATAACGTCTTTAAATTTAAAGTAATAATAAAATGTGGTTAAAACAATATTTAAATTACACTGCTCATGCTTTATCACCAGTAACAACTATAACCAGTAAGGGTTAACCTCCTAAAACTAAGAGCAGGGTCAACAAAACGATTGGTTGAACAAAACGACAGGTTGAATATCACACTTTGTGCAGTCACTGTGTGAGCTTCTCGTACCGCTCTTCATCTCTTCATTATTGAGAAACAGCCTAAATGTGAAGTCACTGGCTGCTTATCAATAGCTGAACTTGCCTGCTCAGAGTGCACTCAGCCAAGCCTCAGTCAATAGCAACGAGTGCACTCAAGAGTGCACAAGTACGGAGATTGAAAAACTGCTCCTAACTGAAGGACCCCATCTTTGTCCAACTCTGACTTAGTCAGCTCAAATAGATAAGAGGAGCAGTTGTGTGAGAGGGAGTGATGGAAAAAAGTTCTCAGATTCAAGCTTTTCACTGCTTTTCTGTACTTGTGCCCTCCAAGTGCACTCTGCACCATTGATTAATACCTCTGACTAAGCTCCTGTCTTGGATGCGCCCAGCTGAAATGGCCCTATGTAGCTTGGCTGCGTGCTGTGTAGTGAGGGAGGACCCCTGTCTGCAGTGCGTCTGTCACTTCCGTAGGCGTCCAAGGCCGTGCCCAAGACAAGCGAGCTGGCGTGCTGGGCGGAAGCCCGCGGGGAACAGAGCAACAGGACCCGTGTCTGTCAGCCTTACGGACGTTGGACACACCACCTGCTAGGACTTGACCTATTGATTGGCAGGAAGGCATCATGTTATGTAATAGAAAGAGAGTGAAATAACGAGAGAGAACATGATTGATTGCAGGTTGAATATCACACAGCAGAACATATTGGCGTTGCTGTCCAAACAAAGCTGCTGTATGTCTTTGTAATGATGCTGTGTTTGGCATGGGGTGAGCTGTAATTAGACTCTCTGTAGCACAGTGTGATAAGTGCAGTTTTTTTTTTTTTCTGAACGCTGAGTCGATCGCACCTCTACCTGGTTCCTTGAAATATATTTTAAATTTGAGCGCATGGAAACTCCTTAGAACCTATTTTACATTCAACCTATACTTAGTAATTATAAAACCTTGATTGTTATATCAGCATTGCTGCATAGAATGCAAATGCAAGAAAATAGATAAAAGAATGGGGTCAGGGAAGAGATCATCTGAGATTTTGTGAAGAGTCATTTCAGTACTGTGAAAAGTACACTGAGTAAATAAAAAGGATTTCCAGAGATCATTTGTACGCAGCTACAGATTTCAGCATTTAACTTGGAAAAGAGTTTTGAGATAGTTGAGATTGTGAAGGTCATTAAAGGCAGTGCTGGATTTCAAAGCAACTGCTGGAAATTTGAGGAATTTGTAAAGCAGGCCAGAGGACAAAGACATTTTTTTAGTGCTGGTGACAAAAAGGGAGAGTTTTGTAGGACCTTAGTAGGAAGAAGTTCTAGCTGGATGTGGAGACATTATTTAGTCAGCCTTGGCTGAAAGGGATGGAAAGGGGCATAAATCCAGAAAAGCGGTGGGGCTGACTGTGGTTGTTATGAAAGAATTTATCATCACAATAATTTAAAGGAAAATGAATTTTTCTTGCTTTTTTTTTAGTTTTTTGTGCTGTGTGAACATCGTTCTTCCTGGACCTTTAAAAACAGGCCATTTTGATCTGACTGCAGTTTAGGTTACCTGTTCATGTTGAAGTGATGTAGAGTGTTGTTACTGCAGATAGTCTGTAGCAGAGTTACTGGAGTGGGAGATATTAAGTGTGCTGTTCCTGGCTGTGGGGAAAAAAAATGTATCAATACAGCCTTTACATACATCTAAAGCAATGTTCTTCAGACATTTCTGAAGAGTTTGCTACAAGAATTTGTTCTACATTTTAGCTCTGACTTATTGGGAGAAACACTATACAAGGCAGCCCATCACAGCAGAGGTTGTTTACATATAGCAGTCTTAATGAGTTAAATAGTTAAAGTTATTATGCTTTTTTCTATGTGAACTGGAAAAAAAACAAGATAACAGAGAATAAACCTTTTTAACTGTGTTAATATCTTTTTAAAGCTGCACTATGTAAGTTTTTTTGTGTTTAAAGAAGTGGCATACTGAGTCATATGTGCTGCTGCGAGTTGCCCTGTAAAGCCTGAAATAATAATTTAAAAGTCAGAGGCATCGGGTCGGATTTTGTGGGAGTTTTTTGGACCACCTTATATGTCTTTATGGATTAACCCCACATGCAGGCTCAAAAAGAAGGTCCAGCTCAGTTTAGGTCTTGAATGCAAAATTAACATTAAATAGTGTACCTTTAAGCTCTTCTGGATGTCTGAATGTGTTAGGAAAGGTGTAGATGTAGGTATTTGGCTGTAGGTCTTCTGCAAGGAAGACCATGCTGCTGTATTCCCACGCCTTGTTGGCATGCTGCACACCACTGGCACAAGCCCTTACCTCAGCTACCCTAGAGACACACAGCAGCATCATGTCTGCATCTCTCTCTTGCTCTTTCTCTCTCTGTCATGCTCTTTCCCTTGCACACACATATGGATAAACACATACAGAGTTGAATGATGTCTCTCCTCTGTGTGCCAACTGTTATTCCTTCTTCTTCATCAGTTCTAAATCATCAGGGGCTTCTTGCTAAACAGGGGTTTCTTGCTCATCCCTCCCTCTTTCTCTCTTCTCATCTCTTTTAGGTCCTCCAAGGCCCACCCTGGTCCTGTCGTCCACATAAGTGATAACCCAATGGATGAAGGCAAGGTATGTCGGTGGTACTCTTGTTAAAGTACTTAGTGTCTTATTGTGGATACATTCAGAGACAGTGGCTTTATCTCCTTTAACTCCTTAAAGTCTGCCCCCAGGGTAGTTGCAACATGTGCTTGTCCTCCCTGTGCATGGTAAAATATGGCTATATAAAATAATGACAATGCTGGCTTTGCTGTTGAATGCACTACAACACTCTTAATGGAATTCACATCTCTGAGGGCTTATTATTGATTTCATCAGAATAACAATAAAAGGCGACTGAAGTGTGAAGCAAATTCCTATTCATATCTGTGCTTGCTCAAAATGGCAGTTTGTGAAAATTCAGCAAGAGCATTGAGAGAACAGTTTGTTAAAGGAGACAAACCTGTAGATATTGCCATTTTTTGCATAGACATGAAAGGATTACAAGAAAGAGTTCAAAGAGGAAGACACATCAGTGTAATTGATATGTTTCCCTGAACCCTTCTCAAAAAACAACAGTCTACAAAATCCCTACAACTCCATTTAAAACCCTCACAGAATCCCTACCGTACCTCATCCAAGCCTTGCAAAACTCTACAGTATCCTTGCAATGCTCATTACAGCTTAATTTACACAGTGTTTACCGGTTATGTAAACTGTAAAAACTGACTATATTAGAGTAATTATATTTTTTGGTGAATCTAGAAATCATGAAAATGGACAATCTGCCTGTGCCTGTAACATCATTGCACTCTTGCTAGGCACCTGGCTTTTGATAAAGTGCCTTTCGCGCATCTCCTCACTTCATCTGAGCGGTACATCAATCCAACGCAGACTCGCTTAACCCTCAGCAGGAGCTAAAGAGGCTCGGCCACTCCCTACCCACATGGACACTGACACTTTGTCCTCTCTGTCTCTGAATGTTTAAAAATCACAATCAGATATCCGACTTGATTGTAAAATAAATTATGTAAAACGCCTCTACCAAGCAAAAACTAATTTTTCCATTTAGCTTCGCCTGCTCATGCTGACGTTATAATTTTTTAAATGAGGCACAAAAGTGGACAGCAAATCAGAACTAATTTACATATACTAGTAACTAAAAATACCCTTAGTTTAACTGTAGGGATGAAGAGTGACCTCAGTAAGTGGACCTCAGGGGAAAAATAACATGCAAGAAAATGTGGGAAATAGGCCCTTTAAGTTATATCTGTGAAATAAATATATCCACCTTACTTTTCACATGACCACAGTATTTCGAGAACATGGCTGAAATATCCAGTTGGAGAACGGAAGTGTCATTCATTAGTGTTTTAGCAAATTCAAGATTTATCATTTTATGTCCCATTAAATGTCTCTGAGGCGTTTCTAAGACAACATGAAGTTTGCAGCAGTCACTGCAGCTGAGTGAAGCTGAAAGCATGACAAGGACGGTAATGTTGCGAGAATAAACCTCTCCAGAAGAAGCAGAGCTTCAAATTGTGGCTTTATAATTATTGTTTGAAAAGTTTTTGAAATCCATGCCCATAAAATCCAACTAGATGATGAATTGCCAGTTAAATATCACTGTTTGCTGCTATAAGGCTCACTCTAAAACTGGTTTACACTTTATATTCTCTGTATATGGATATATTCTGTCCTTGATAGAATTGGCTGAGCAGGTTAGCGGAGAGCTAACAGGCTAACACTTCACTAGTAGAAGACAGACATCAAGTTCAAGCCTCAAAAGGTTATTTAAAAACTGAGACATACAATGTAAAAAGTGTGTTACTTGAATGACTGTTACAAGCTTTAAATGTCTTTATTTATGTTACGGCTCACATCAAAATCCATCGTAATGCTGAACCCTGCTTACTTGGTGCTTGTACCCATATGAGGAGCACTGTCTTAGCACTTGTATTAACAGATTACATAAAACATTGCTATGTAATTGCAAAGGAATACTGTTACAAAGCTGGTGGCTGCATGGCTTGCCATAGTGTGATGGTATTGCGCGGACCTGACCAAGTGAGCAAAATCAAAAAATAAAATAAAAAAATTGAAAAAAAATATAAAATAGATATTTACATTTTTGTTTATTTCCACATTTCTATCATGTCAAGATGTTATTAGCATTTAACATATTTAATATGTACAATCTGTTTACACTTCACAGCAAGTTCTGTCCATAAGCCACTCAAAGCATCATGGGGCACAAGGTGGATAAATATAATAACAATATATATAGAAGTATGTTTGAGTTCATATATGGGACTAGCTTTTTGTTTAATAATAATAATAATAATAATAATTATATATCACTTTACTTTTGCAATCGGTCACAAAGTCACCCACAGTTCATGTTCAAGGAAAAGCTCTGACCTATAAAATCTCATTCAGCCCAGCCGTATTTCTGATTTGTAATCTGTAATCCTTGTGCAGGTCAGAATCCAACTGAGTGACAACCTCTTTTTCCCCTCTCTTTCTCTCTGTCTGTCGCTCTCCCGACCTCTCCCAGCTCATAATAGGATTTGAGTCTGGCATCGTGGTGTTGTGGGATTTGAAATCAAAGAAGGCTGACTACCGCTACACTTATGACGAGGTGAGTACAGCCTTTCTACTGCTTCTTCTCTCAGGCACGCGATAGCGACAGTATTACGGATATGAGACAGCAGAGATCAAATATTCATGAAGGGGGCTGATATAAATAGGTGAGAGAGACTGCCGAGGGTTCTTTGGCTTTGCATGTGTGTTGTTTGGCTTTGGAAGATGACATCAAAAGAGAATTGTCATCTCAGGAGGAAAGAGGTTTGTGGGAATGGGCGCAAGTGATATGTTGTGTGTGTTTTGTCATCTGAGTCATCCATCCATATGTTCGTCAATTCATCTACAGTGGCTAGAGGTGGGCATTTTAGTCAAATTTCATATTTGAATTAGACATTATTAAAAAAAAAAAACAAAGAAATAATATATAGACTTTCTGTGGGCCTAAACCACAAATTCATGAAATTCAAGATAGCTAGCATTACTAGCCTAGTCATATAGTATTTCACTTGATTAAAAAAGTTAGCTGATACTAGGGGTGGGAATCTCTAGGCACCTCACGATTCGATTCGATTGCGATTCAGAGGGCTGCGATGCGATTATAAAACGATTATCGATGCATCTCGATGCATCTTTTTTTTCTATACAGGATTTCTATTTTCTTACCGTGTCAGGACTTGGTACTTTTAAAGCAAAGTGTTTGTAATGATCCATAATGCATTTACTTCCAATATCTTTTTAATAAATCAAATGGAAGTGATGTGGCAAGTCAACTAGAAAGCTACCATTCACTGCTATTGCTTGGAGCACATGAGACGCTGCTGCTACTCATCTGCGATAAAATGTGCAGTTACGGCGAAATAAGATCCAGTGGTAATGAATGTCCACACAGCACGTTACAGCCATCCTACCAGTTTTCTTTAGTGATTTTATAACTTAGGTTTTGGTCTCGTTGTAGAGATGGGAGGGGGGGATCGCTGTGTCAGTAAAATATCTTCGGGACGTGTGCAACATAGGCGCGAAAGCCCTGTTTCGCAACGACTGAGAACTGGCGTTCTCCGGCTGCAGGTCACCTAGCAACGATGCATTATTCGCATTTATAAGCGCTGCTGTTGGTTTACTTGCAAGCTAAATCTGCAACAAGAGACTGTCAAACAGTAAAAAGTTGCGAAGATGAAGTCAGCTTCTCTTTCGAGTTTTCCTGTTCCACCTTAAATGGTGCCGCATTTACATTCGGCAGCTCAGTCAGAATTTAAGGTGGAACAGGAAAATTTGAACAAGAAGCTGGAGCGACTTAAAGAAGCGACTTCAGCCTCGTAAAACAGCCGAACTTTGAGAGACATTTTACAAGAAACTGATCTACTTTAGAGGAAAAGTTTTCTGGTGGAGATGGAAGGAAAGCAGCTATAGCTGAAGCTTAAAGCAGAGCAAAGTAAATCCGTGGTTTCGTTTATATTTTAACCTAACTTATAGCAGGACATTAACACATACTGAGACATACTGGACATAAATGTTGTGGCTGCCAAGGTGGTTTGACTTTTGTTGAAAGGACATGTCTCTTCTTAACATTTGGGTTGTGACTCCTGACCTAACCTGGCTTTAATGCAGAGGGAGCCAGTTGGATTTCTTGCTCATCCATGTGTTTTTGTTATGTGCACCTCACAGAGTGTCCGGGCGCTGCACTTCCGCACTTCCAGGTTCCGCCTTTTGCGTTCCATCAACATTATGGTATAAATTAAATATTTAAAAAATTGTTTTTTTCAGAATCGTTCACATCTGCATCGCGATGCATCTAAGAATCAAGTTTTCCCGCACCCCTAGCTGTGCAGAGTATGTAAAATGAACTTATTGTTTGTAGGAACCTTTTCTCCGCTGCTTCCTATGTGCTATAGCTGTGCTTTGTAGACCCTTTGGCAGTGTGCAGCTTCTTCTCTGGTGTGTGATAGCCTTTAGACAGCTGCAGTAGTATTTCTATGAATCTTTCTTTGGACTAAACAGATTTGAAACTTTGACCAAAACATGAGACGTAAGTTCTACACTGCCCTCATCATTTTGAATGGGATATTTTATAAATATGGCTAGCGAGATCCTTTTCATCAGTTCTACTGGGTGGATTATTAACATGCATCTCAGGAAGTCCCATGAGAGGCCAGAGTCAAAGTGCTGCTCCAGTTTAAGCAGATTTGATGACTTTTGTCAACAGTAGCAGTCAGCTTACATTAGTCATTACATTCTACATGTTGTGCCCAAGGCAGAGTGGCGCGCAAGGGAATTTGACCAAACGCACACACACAAAGAGTCAAATCAAATCCATTCTTCTTCCTCTCTCTCTTTCTCTCTCTCTTTCTCTCTGTTTCTCACCCCATCTCTCTTCTGCTTCTCCTTCTTATGTACTCCTACTCTCTCCTTTTTCTCTCTCCTCCATCTCTCCCTCTGTCTCTCAGACTCATTGTGTGTTGCATGTGTTAATTTCTCCAGAGAGAACTCATCGCTGCTTTGATGAATGGCTCCGGCTCTATAGACATCTGATGTATCCCTCTGCTCATTTACCCTGATTGATTAATGTTGCCAGGAGATAAATGTCCCACAATTTACGGCTCCACGCCCAAACTCCAGGGCATCAAGGTGCTATTTTGAGCTCAGCTTGAAACCAGAAAACACAGCTTGCTTCTGTCACCACTGCCTTGGTCTTTCTCTGGCTACTCTCTGAAGAGTTCACCTGCAAAATATCTTATGTCACTGGAAGGTCATCAAACTGTCTGTTACTGTTAATGTTGTTATCTTTTCAGATTGCAACAAGTGATTATTTCTAATTCTATTTCTAACTGTTGTTTAGTTAATCAGCTAATTGAAACCCCCTTAGCCATTGCCATGATGCATAGTTCCATGGTTGTGACAAACTCTTTCTTCTTTAATGCCACAACAATATACACTGAACAAAATATATATATGGAATAATTTTTTACCGAAAAGATATTTACTCTGATGTGGCCACCATTTGCCTGTAGCAGCGTGACAAATTTCAATATAATAGAAGCCATATTGCCGTTCTAATACTGGTTACAGCACTTCTTGTAGTGTATGACTGTCTGAATAACCGTGTGGACATTACAGAGTATTACAGAGCACATATGCTTTTAAGGAAACATTGTCAGCTAATCATTGTAGTCCTATTATTATTATTGTTATTATTATTATTATTATTATTATTATTATTATTACCATTATTATCCTGAAGTATAGGTTAAGTTTAGGGCTGGGAATATAGGCGGTTTTAAAAAAAACTGTATCTTGGGACTAAATTATCAGCAAATATCCACATTTTCACTGTTTAAAACCGCGGGTATATGTAGGACATATTCCATTTGTGCCAGATGAGGGGGAGCAACAAAACTCAATGTTTTTTCCACACCAAGTCAGAGTTTTGCATATATAGAATACACAAATAATATAAAAAATTGTTTTTGATGGTGTTTTCACTGTATAGTAGCGTGACAGTACAGTAACTCACAGGGCGACTCACTGCTGCATGTGTAAATGGCGTAAAAGCAGGACTGGAGTTTCAGGTTACAGATCATAGCTCAGAACACTCATACATACAAAATGGAAAAAAAAAGATAATTTCTATCTAGCGATTTCATGTCCATTATCAATAATGATCAATAAATCAATAAGTAGTCTCAGCCCTACTGCATTTATTTGGAGATTTCCTGGTGCCTCTTACTAATAAATTAATTAGTGAGGCCTGAAGCGCAAAGTTAGCCGCACTCTGGCAAGGCAGATTGATGTATGGATGGATGGAGACTCTTCGAGCAGGGAATGTGGCAAGAGGACTGGGGATCATATAGACAGATGGAGGGTCACTTTCCTGGTGCTGGTGGCATATATGTGTGTGTGGTGATAAATATAAGGTAAATGAGGTTTGCCCTGATCACTGTACTGCCCTGATGGAGGAGCTTAGCCACCTAATGAAACCTACCTAGAGTTATTCATCCTTCTGTTTCCTCTCTGAACAATCCATCTAGTCCCCGCCATCTGGTCATTACCTAAGCTTATAGGAAGTGCTGCATAAATTAGCAATGAGTTACAATTCTCAGTGGATTTTTGTTTCCATCAGCAAGTGCTTTCATTATTCAGCTTCGTCCTTGTCACAAAATGACTTAAAAATTAAAATGTGAAAAATTGAATTATTTCACCACTTTTATCTTTAGCTCCAATGTCTTTTTCTCTCTCATAACAACATATTACATATTAATTAACATTTTGACCTGTTAATTTCATAGTAGTTACTGAATAATAAACCATAGGATTAACAGTATATTAAGTCTAGGGTTAAGCGGGTTAAATCTGACTTGGATAAATTGGATTTGAACATACCAAAATTTTCATGTCCAACATATTTGTTGTTTTGATAAGTACAGTGTGTTTTTTAAACAATCTTGTTATCAAACCTTAATCACACTAAACATGTTCTACTTACTGAACATTATAAAACATATAGTTTCAGTCCTGAAATTTGATTGGCTGAGCCATGTTTTAAGCCACTTTAAAATACTTGCTGTATGCACATCTCTGACCCCCTCACAGCAGTTGAATTTGCTGTTGTTTTGCTCACATGGACGACTGAATGGGACCAGGTATCCGTGACAGCCCTTGACAGTACTAAATATAACTTATGTAAAAACACAATTTTGTTTGAGCTTGTTTTTTAATGATACTTGATAATAATGATATTTATACTGCCTTCTCTATTCTTCAAAATCCGTTCAAGTGAGACGAGGCTCAGTCTAGCCCTGGAAATAGAGCTGGTGGGGCAGCTTGGGTTGTACGAGATTCATTGCTCCTGGGCGCCCCCTCTGGTACAGTACCAGTCACCTGTGGTTCTCCTCAGTAACTCCGACCTGTCATGCATCACCACAGCTCTGGAAATCTTGCTGGAAATTAAACGAACACCAACTAAACATAATGTCTGCAGTGAGGGCTGTGAAGAATTTTCTATAGAAAGTTTTGGTTACCGGCGATGCTGCTTTTGGCTGCCTTTGGAAAAACACTAGGTTT